TTCCCCAAAGATACAACATTAATCTCTTGGAAGTAAGTTGGACCTTTTCACCCTCAGCAACCAAAATACTTTTTTTCTATTTGATAGATTTGATTTACCATGAAGATGTGTTGAGTTAGTTATATACACAGTAAGGAGAACAATAACATCATAGTAAGGTGAGAAGGGCACTGGTGAACCAGGGAGATGTGAAAGAAAAATTGACATGATGCCTTGATTTAGGTAGACCTTTTTAGGCAGATCAGTTTTAGAGAAGTTAGCATATGAAAGTAGAAAGTAAGGAAGTTGATTCCTTTCAGACTCTCCATGTTCACTTACCCTTTTTAGCCAAGGTCATAAACCTGATAACCATTTGCTGAGAGAACCTCTTAATGCTTTTCGGCTTTCTTTGCCTCAGTTAGTTGTGGTTATAACAGGTCCTTTTGATTTCTTTTACCCTATGATGGAGTTGGCTATATGGGTTCTGGTCCTTCAGGTATTCTCATGGGTGGCTAAGGGAGTGGCACAGAACAGCAGTTTTTTTTTCTGTTGTTTTTAAGATCAGGAATCACGTGCTTATTAGACGCTTAGATAAAACCTGAAAAGGAATGGCGAGTGTAAGCAAAACTTTGTTTATATTTAATACTGACTTTCTGTGACTTAACTGATAATTTTTTAGTAATAGTAACCATTATAACTATTTAAAAATGTGCTTTGACATTAAGTACACTTGCAATATTTTTATTTATTTATTTATTTGTTTGTTTGTTTGTTTTGTTTATACATGCACTGGGTACAGTCAGAAGTGCGGGAGGGTGAGAGAATTCACCAGAGCCAGAGCGGGGAGCAGAGCGGGCAGAAGGACCGAAGTACACTGCTGAGGGGAGCAGCGGGTGGCAGGAGAGGTCTGCGCGCCATGTGGGACCCTCCTCCGGTGGCCGGGGAGCAGCCGGGGATCGAACCAGTGCTGCAGAGGCCGCGGGCAGCTTCGCAACCCAGCGCTCAACCGCTGAGCCACCGGGGAGGCCCCACTTGCAATATTTTCTATCACCACTATCTCTTTCCAGAATTTTTTCATTTTCCCAGATAAAAACCTTGTGTGCATTAGTCACACATCCCCCTCCCTATCTTCTCACCCCTGGAGGGAAAAAAAAACTGATCTTTTTTTTTAATCTGTTTTCTGTCTCTATGGATTGAATATTTCATATAGAATTCTAAAATATGTTTTGTGTATCAGATTTCTTTTCCTTAGCATGTTTTCAGGTTTCATCCATGTTGTGGCATGTATCAGTACTTCATTTTTTTATAGCCAAATAATCTTCTGTGGATATACCACATTTTGTTTATCATTCCATTAATTGGTGGCCATTTCGGTTGTTTTTACTTGGTTGTTGATAAAGCTGCTGTGAATGTTCTTTTACAGGTTTTTGTGTGGACATATGTTTTCACTTCTCTTGGATAGGGAGGGAAGTATTAGGTCATATGGTAACTATGTTTAACTTTTTGAAGATCCATCAGACTGCTTTTCACAGCTTTTGTACTTTTATTTTTACGAGCATTTCATGAGATTCCAATTTCTGTCCATCTTTGCTTATTATTGTTAGAAAAACTTAATTCATCAAAACCTTTGACTCCTTAATTCATGCAGGGCACCGTGCTAGATACTGTGTGAGTTTCAAAGAAGGGCAAAGGATTATCCTTGAACTAGTTGTACTTTATGCAGAGTGACTCTGAATTCCAGGCCTGGGCTAAAGTGCTAAGCAGCCCTGTCCCAGCTCACCAAGTAGGATACCTCTTCGCTAAGCAAATTACAGGCAGAAATTCAGCTTCTTTTTCTGCAGCTGGGACACTTATGAAGTGGGTAGTTTTCTGTCTCACCTTTGTGCCAATTTTGCCATTTTATAGAATTGTATCTAGTTTAAGATTGTCAAATTTATCGGCATATACTTGTGCAAAATATTTTGCTAATGATATTTCTTAATCTGTTGCGTTTATTATTCCTTTTCATGCTATTTTATATCTATCTTTTTTTCCCAAGCAGCTTTACTGGAGTTTATCTCTCTCCTTTTTTTTTTTTTTTTTTTTTGTGGGACCCTCGCCGATGGCCGGGGAACGAACTGGCGCTGCAGAGGCTGTGGGCAGCCTTGCAGCCCAGCACTCAACCGCTGCACCACCAGGGAAGGCCCTGGAGTTTATTTCTTAATAATCTTTTTCAAAAGGATTTTTTGGTTGTTCTTTCTGACCTTATATAGAGAAATAGCCTCCGAACTAAAATTAATATATACACCAGAATTGCCCACAGATGCAAGCATTCTCTTAAATCAGAAAACATTCTAGCCTCTGGAAATATGTTGGAAATTTTGCAGAGAAATATTTGTGTCATCTCTTAACTGTGTTTTCTTAAGTCAGAGCATAAAAGCCTAATTCTCTTAATTGATAGCTAGGTATCTGAAAATATGTAAATGCATGAGAAATGCTAGGATAGATGTCTTGTTTTTAAGGGCCCAGCTGTGGTTATTACTAAATGATTAAGTAGTTGATTATTGTTGTAATCAGGAAATTATGTGGCCCATGGCAAACTATTATATATGAGAGAAAATCTAAATCTAATTTATAACTTGTATATCTGAATTACTTTTGCTAATTAGAAGTGAGTTATATAAAAAGCAAACTTTTTCTAAAAATCTTTTTAAGATTCTTTTTTTTTTAAGATTTATTTATTTATTTATACAAGCATTGGGTACAGTCAGAAGCGCGGGAGGGTGAGAGGATTCTCCAGAGCCAGAGCGGGGAGCAGAGCAGGCAGAAGGACCGAAGTACACTGCTGAGGGGAGCAGCGGGTGGCAGGAGAGGTCTGCGTGCCATGTGGGACCCTCCTCCGGTGGCTGGGGAGCAGCTGGGAATCGAACCGGCGCTGCAGAGGCTGCGGGCAGCTTCGCAACCCAGCGCTCAACCGCTGCGCCACCGGGGAGGCCCTCTTTTTAAGATTCTTAATGTAGGGCCTCCCTGGTGGCGCAGGCAGTTGAGCACCGCACTGTGAAGCTGTCCGCAGCCTCTATAGCGCGGGTTCGATCCCGGCCAGCCAGTGAGACTTCCCACATGGCGAAGCAGACCTCTCCTGTCTTGCCCGCTGCTCCCCCTCAGCAGTGTGTTTCGTCAGTCTGCCTGTTCTGTTCCCTGCTCTGTCTCTAGTGAATCCTCACCCTTCCGTGCATCTGGCCTGTACCCCAGTTCTTGTATAAATAAAAATAAATCTTTAAAAAAAAAAGATTCTTAATGTAACCAGTTATATTGTTGTTATAGGTGGTAGACATGTTAATGTCTAAATTGGACTTGAGTTTTGACCTTTGAGCATTTGTGTCTCATTTTAGCAATTATGTATAATGATTTTTGCCTCTTAATGATACTGTGTTTTGTTTTTTTCATTTATAGTGCTAGACTCCTGTGACCTTTTAAATGATTGAATAATGATGGAAATGGATCCACATAATAAGTGACTTCTCTACCAACGCAGAAGATTCTTCATATCACCTTCCAGTAGTTCGTGTCAGTCACCAGGAGGGAGCAGAACTAAGTGGAATACAGGAAGCAGAAGAGAAGAAAGCCTTACTTTGGAGCTGTCTTTCTCCTTGACTATCCCTCATCCTTCCCATTTCTACTTATTTCAGTTTGCTCCTAATTTACAGTGAAGACCAAAGAAATAAAAGATACTTTTGGGAGCTTCATGCCAAGAAATTTGCCTTGAAAGCTGCTATTCTGTGAAGTGAAAAGTATATCAAGTTCCTGTCTGATTTAAAAAAAAAAAAAATTCTTATATCCTTAGATTTTGAAGGATAAGCCACATACAAATACATACCTGCATACTATTTTTAGCAGCTGTGTAAGAATAATGAGATTTGTAAATTAAGGGCTTGGTCATGTCAGTTTTTGCCACTGGAGTTGACTACTTGGAAGATCTTTTATAGATTTTTAATATTTTTGATCTATCACTTTGATGACATTACTTTCCCACACGAGCCCAACTGTCTTTCTAGCTATGACCTTTTTATGAATAGAATTTGCACTCAGTGTGCAAATGTCCCTGTATTTTCTGTTTGACCAACATCATAGTGACATCACTCAAGGAAGTTGAATGAGGTGAACATAGACATAACTCTTTCCCCTTCCCCCCATTTTTTAAATGTAACAAATACTTTTTATGTTCCCCTTCCCCCCTTCCCCTCCCCCTTCCCCCTTTTTGGAAACGTGCCAGGAACTAGATAGTTTAGGATGAGCCATTGAGGGGACTGAGAGTGATCCACACAGAGCCTGGCTTCTTTGTGCTTCATCACAAGGCTAGCTGCTGGCCAGCATAATCAAGCATCTTTTTAACAAGAGAACCTCGTGGGAAATCCAGCTGGCAGACTCAAGGATTCAGGAAACAGGATTACAGAGGTTACACTCTGGGGTAAATGTCTATGTCTTATTTTGGGAGAAGACTGTGCATTATCAAAAATATCTGATACTTTTCTGATGTGTGTAATTTTGAGAATATCAGTGGGGTGGTTTATCTCTCTTGCTAAAGTAAATCTCTTTAGGAAACTAATGAGAACTAAACAGGAAAGCTCTTGAGGTTGCAGCTCTCCTAGAAAAATATTTTCAACTTTTGCCAGAAGTTAACCTGAATACCCAAAGTAAATTAATCTTTTTTAATATATATCCGTAGTTTTAAGTAATTGGCTATTCTTAAGATTCTTCTGCTGTAACACAAGAGTTCATTACCTTCTTTGACATAAGCTTGCAGATTAATGTCACATTTTTCTGCTTATGTGTTTTTCATGGTCATATATTCACAACTTTTGCTTTTGTTTAGAACTTTTCTGAGATAAGTAGACAAGTGGAGACTCAAAAGAGGGGATCTTAGAGTAATCATACACTCCTTTGCACACTGGTATCAGATTCTTACATGCGTAAGTGATTTGAGAGTTATCATTTTTAGGTCCTGGCCATGAGGTTGGATGCCTCACTTTGCTGAAAAGAGACACTGGACCTAAATGGCGCAGCATGACTTTGTTCCTGCTTGGCTAAATTTCTCAACACCACAGTCAGCTAAGGTACTTTTCTTCATCCCTGTAGTAGTATCTAAATACCAACTCTTCATCCTCTTCTAATTTATAGCCTCTGTTATATAGTTTGGGTGTTTTATTTTTATATTCACACTTGTGAAGATTTCTGATATATTTTCATAGACTTTACTACCTTTCTTTTAATAAGGTATAACACAGGCAGTCCAAGATTTTGTATGCCCCGTTACTGCCAAATGTCCTGTTTTTTTCTCATTATATGCTGAGCTTTTCTCATTATATGACACACTTAAGAATATCTGTATTCCAGGGCCTCCCCGGTGGCGCAGCGGTTGAGCGCTGGGTTGCAAAGCTGCCGGCGACCTCTGCGGCGCCGGTTCGATCCCCGGCTGCTCCCCGGCCACCGGAGGAGGGTCCTACATGGCGCGCAGACCTCTCCTGCCGCCCGCTGCTCCCCTCAGCAGTGTACTTCGGTCCTTCTGCCTGCTCTGCTCCCTGCTCTGGCTCTGGTGAATTCTCTCACCCTCCCGCGCTTCTGACTGTACCCAGTGCATGTATAAACAAAACGAACGAACAAACAAACAAATAAATAAAAATAAAAACATGCCGCTATAAAAAAAAAAATAATAAAAAAAAAAAAAAAAAGAATATCTGTATTCCAGTGTAGCTGTAGCACATGTTGGAAATAAAACATACCTTCTAACTTACTGTTTAGGACAAAGAGGGAGAAGTAAAAGAAAAATGATTTGGGGGGAAGGAGGAGGAGAGACATTAGTTGGTTGACTACTTGAATTTGTCTTTGGAGCCAGTAATCTTAATGATATCAGGAGAAAATGTATGTCGTATTAGACATAAAGATAAGTGAAACAAAAAAAAAAGATAAGTGAAACATCAGTTCATATAGAATAAAATAGCCTTAGAGTAAACAGAAGAACAGTGTAAATTATTGATAAAGGAAACCTTTGGAAAGTTAGTAAACCTAAAAGCATTCCCCATTTTGCCAATAATAGAAGAGGAGCTAAGTTGATAAGTAGTTTCCCCTAAAATGGTCTACTTATCTATTTTTGAATATGACTTTTGGGAAAGATGTTTTTCATCTGTCCAGACTTTAAGCTGTATTCATTTGTATTACCCTTATGAAATGGACAATATCTCATGCTTGACATAATGTGACCCCAGACTTGGAAGTAGGCAGTAGGCGTGAATGTAGGTGTGTGGGATCTAGGAATGCATTTTAAAATATGGGGATCTTATATCTGTAAAGAATAATTGATTTAGGCCTCCCTGGTGGCAGAAGGGTTAAAGTTACAGTGCTGTCAAGCTGTTGCCAGCCACTGTGGCATGAGTTTGATTCCCAGCCAGGGCACTAACCCACATGGTGCAGCAGACCTCTCCTGTCTTGCCCGCTGCGCCCGTCAGCAGTGTATTTCAGTACATCTGCCTGCTGTGCTCCCTACTCTGTCCTTGGTGAATCCTCTCATCCTCCCCACCTCTGGCCTGTACCCCAGTTCTTCTACGTAAAAATAAATAAAATCCAGGGCCTCCCTGGTGGCGCAAGGGTTAAGACGCAACCTATGAGGCTATCCGCAGCCACTGCAGCACGAGTTCGATTCCTAGCCAGCCAGGGAGCCACCCACATGATGCAGCAGACCTCTCCTGGCTCGCCCTGCTGTTCTCCTCAGCAGTGTACTTTGGTCAATCTGCATGTTCTGTTCCCCACTCTGTCTGGTAAATCTTCTTCCCCCTCCCAATACCTCTGGCCTGTACCCCAGCTCTTGTATGCATAAATAAATCTTTAAAAAAAAAATAGGTCCTCCCTGGTGGCGCAGCAGTTGAATGCTGGGCTGCAAAGCTGCCTGCAGCCTCTGTAGCACTGGTTCGATCCCCAGCAGCAAGCGTCCCACATGGCACACAGACCCCTCCCGTTATGCCCGCTGCTCCCCTCAGCAATGTACTTTGTCAGTCTGCCTGTTCTGTTTCCCGCTCTGGCTCTGGTGAATTCTCTCACCCTCCCGCGCTTCTGACTGTACCCAGTGCTTGTATAAAGAAATAAATAAATCTTAAAAAAAAAAAAAAAAAAGAAATACACTGCTGAGGGGAGCAGCAGGCAAGACAGGAGAGGTCTACTTCACCGCGTGGGATTCTCGCTGGCCAGCTGGGATCGAACTGGCGTTGCAGAGGCTGCGGGACAGCTTCAAAGTGCTGCACTCAACCGCCTGTGCCACCAGGGGAGGCCCTAATTTTGTTTTTTTAAAGCAAACTCCTTGCTTTTCCTTTCCTATTGCAAGATTATTATTTTTAACTGTAAAATTTTGGAGCTTATTCCTTTTTTTTTTTTTTTTTTTTTTTTTTAAAGATTTATTTATTTATACAATAACCGCGGTACAGGCCAGATGCGTGGGAGGGTGAGAGAATTCGCCAGAGACAGAGCAGGGAACAGAAAAGGCAGACTGACAAATGGACTGTTGAGGGGAGCAGCGGCCGAACGAGACGAGAGGTCTGCGGCACCATGTGGGACCCTCGCCGGCCAGCCGGGATGGAACCCACTCTGCAGAGGCTGCAGACAGCTTCACAGTGTGGCATTCAACCGCCTGCGCCACCAGGGGAAGCCCTTGAGCTTATTCTTTATGAATATTGACAGGGGTTTTTCCCCTTCTCTCGTGCTAACAATTAGAGTAGCTGCCTTCTCTTCTGGGACAAATAAAAGAGTTAATGATTGAATATGTGACCTAGAACGTCTCTAACTCAGAACCGTGTAGTACTCTTTTTAGTGCCGGTATGCTCATTATGAGGGTTTCTGGTACCATTATTACTTGTTTTCTAAAAACCTAATGCAAAACCTTAAGTGCGAAAAGACTTACTGTTCACTTTTCTCTTTGCTTTATCATGTTAGTCACCTACAGCCACCTTTGAAAAGCACGGAGAGCACCTACCACGAGGAGATGGTAGATTTGGAGTAAGCCGTCGAAGACATAATTCCTCTGATGGCTTTTTTAACAATGGGCCTCTGCGAACTACAGGAGGTGAGCAATCCCCAGTTCTTATGACTACATTTATTTTTTATTTTTTTAATTTTTAATTTTTTTAAAAGATTATTTATGCATACAAGAACTGGGTACAGGCCAGAGGTGCAGGGGGGTAAGAGGATTCACCAGAGACAGAGTGGGAAACAAAACAGACAGATTGACTGAAGTACACTGCTTGAGGGAGCAGTGGGCAAGTCAAGAGTCTGCTGCGCCATGTTGAGCTCTGGACTGCGAAGCTGCCCGCAGTCTCTGCAGCACTGGTTCAATCCCTGGCCACTGGCGGGGGCCCACATGGCTCGACAGACCTCTCCTGCTGTGCCCACTGCTCCCCTCAGCAGTGTATTTCGTTAGTATGTCTGTTCTGCTCCCTGTTCTGGCTTTGGTGAATTATCTCACCCTCCCGCACTTCTGACTGTACCCAGTGCTTGTATAAATAAATAAATAAATCTTTAAAAAAAAAAAAAAAATCTCATGTTTCTGTGAATCATTTATTCAATTGAAAAATTCATACAGAATTTATCTCAAAAGAAAGATATTTTTTGTGAATTTAGTCTATTATTTAAAATATTCCTGGGCCTCCCTGGTGGCACAAAGGGTTAAGACGCAACCTATAAAGCTATTTGCAGCCACCGCATCATGAGTTTGAAACCCTGGCCGGCCAGGGAGCCACCCACATGGCACAGCAGACCTCTCCTGACTTGCTCGCTGCTCCCCTGAGCGGTGTGTTTCAGTCAGTCCGCCTGTTCAGTTCCCCACTCTGTCTCTGGTGAATCCTCTCACTGCCCCCTAACACCTTTGGCCTGTACCCCAGTTCTTGTATGCATAACTAAATAAATCTTTAAAAATATTTCTGAAGGTCTTATGGCTATACCATAAATCAGATCAGGAAGCATCTTACCCAACTGTTCTTGAATTTCCAGGAAGCATGCAATCTAATATATTGCTTTTCCTTATTCTAGATTCCTGGCACCAACCCTCCCTGTTCCGTCATGATTCTGTGGACTCTGGTGTCTCTAAGGGAGCATATGCTGGAATCACAGGGAACCTGTCTGGTTGGCATGGCTCTTCACGAGGTCATGATGGCATGAGCCAGCGTAGTGGAGGTGGCACAGGGAACCATCGCCACTGGAATGGCAGCTTCCATTCCCGGAAAGGCTGTGCCTTTCAGGAAAAGCCACCTACAGAGATTAGGGAAGAAAAGAAAGAAGACAAGATGGAAAAGTTGCAGTTTGAAGAAGAAGACTTTGTAAGTATGAAGGTTTATATGTGTAGTTAAAACCTTAAGAGTTTGTCTTAACAAAGTCTTAAATATGAGACTTTGTTAGCAATGAGAACATATTAGAAAATACTAAAAAGGAGTCCCTTGACCTTGTTTTTACTGATTTTAGAAGGAAGGAGTTGATTAGTATAAAGATGATGACAAAAATTCTGTGTGACTGAGATAAGTTATAAACATACAATTAGGAGCTTTTTACCTGTCAAAAGAAGTCTATATTCAGTAAAACTTGATATTGTTATATGTTGAATTACATGCATTTTCGCCTCTAAACCAACAGAAGAGCTTTTAATCTACTTTTTTAAAGTTTAATATATTTTAATCAAATATATACAAATTATATGGTTTTTAACATGTAATCAATATCTTTAAATTACTGAGATGTTATTTTTTGTACTTTGTTGTCAAAATCTTTTGTGTATTCTATATTTGAATGTCACATTGCAAAAAAGACTGCATATTCTAAATGCTCAACAGCCAGATGTGCTGCCATATTGAATGGTGTAGTTTTAGTTACTTTTAAGTAGCACATTAATGGCCTTTACTTCTGTGGTGGCCATTTTAATGTTAAAAAGCCAGAGTCAAATTTAGTCATTAGTCCCCCTCTTCTAAGTCTAAAATGTCTGGGATCCTTGTTTTGATGTTAATTGTTAAATGGATTCCACCCCAAGCACTAGATATCTGGTAGTCCAGAAATTCCTACAACACTAATTTAGAACTGTTATCACTTATTTAATAAACTTATTAAAACAAAAAACCAAGAAAGACCAGTAGACCAGTAGGAAAGATTAAGAAACAAATCTCTATTTCTCATCACACTGTGAGATCTTGGTAAAATCCTCATTAAATCAGCAGCAAGAACAAAAGGTTTAATTGTAGTCTTCCAAAGTGACTTTTCTTTTTGTACATTTATTTCACATAATAATTGAACCTTCCATAACTATAATTTATATCTCACATGAATCTAATTTATTTAAAGTATATCTTAACTATATGAGTACAGCCAGTTGAGCATATAGAAAATAAGTTTATTGGGCCTCCCCGGTGGTGCAGCGGTTGAGTGCTGGGTTGCGAAGCTGCCCGCAGCCTCTGCAGGGCCGGGTCTATCCCCGGCTGCTCCCCGGCCACCGGAGGAGGGTCCCACATGGCGCGCAGACCTCTCCTGCCGCCCGCTGCTCCCCTCAGCAGTGTACTTCGGTCCTTCTGCCTGCTCTGCTCCCTGCTCTGGCTCTGGTGAATTCTCTCACCCTCCCTCGCTTCTGACTGTACCCAGTGCTTGTATAAATAAATAAATAAATCTTAAAAAAAAAAAATTGCCCTGACTAATATAAAAGAAATGTTTAAAAAAAAAGAAAATAAGTTTATTTTAGCTTCTAGTAGTTATGCTTTCTTATGTGCTTTAGTAAAAGAGATGGTAACAAAGTAGTTCTGTGGAATAAAGTAGAAGTTATTTAGACTCTGCTTTATTCTAGATACTATATTACTGATTGGTATAGTTTAATAAACATAAATCCATTATAAAATGAATTGACAGTGGAAAAGAAAATGGTATGGTAGTGTTTTCTTCATGTGATAAATGGTTTAAAAGGAAGCTTGCTGTCAAATGGGTCAGTAAGGACAATATTATTTTGTATTTGTGGTCTTAGGAAATATTCTAAGTGTACATAGAAATATGGAGAAAAATGGTCAGGTATGCATAGCACATAGTTTCATGAAATACTGGCTTTTTTCCAAATATGTTCTAGGTCATTCTTTTACAAAAGAGTCAAGATATTAGCGAGACAGTTAACGATTCCCTAATCCTCTTCTTCTCACTTTTCCCTAGAAATAATCATTATCTTGATTTCAGTGTTTTAGGCTCTTTGTGCTTGTTTTTAATAAACTTTGTGTATGTATTCATAAACCATCCATAATAGCATTTTATCCTTTTTTTTTAAGATTTGTTTATGTATACAAGAGCTGGATTTCAGGCCAAGGGTGTGGGGGTGAGAGGATTCACCAGAGACAGAGTGGGGAGCAGAACAGGCAGATCTACTGAAATATTGCTGAGGGGAGCAGCAGACAAGACAGGAGAGGTCTGCTGCTCCACATGGGTCACCTCCCTGGCTGGGCATCAAACTCGTGCTGCAGTGGCTGTGGATAGCTTCATAGTGCTGCAACTTAACCCCTTGTGCCACTAGGGAGGACCCCATTTTGTTCTTTACATGAATAGTATTATAGTTCTCTTTTATTTGCTTAGAAATTAAGATTTGTGGGTCTCCCTGGTGGGGCAGGTGGTTGAGTGCAGCACTGTGAAGCTGTCCAAAGCCTCCGGTCGTGGAGATATCCACATGGCACAGCAGACCTCTCCTGCTCCCTGCTCTGTCTGTGGTGAATCCTCTCACCCTCCTGCATGTCTGGCCTGTACCCCAGTTCGTGTATGCATGAATAAATAAAATCTTTTTTTTAAAAATTGAGATTTGTGTGTGTTGATCCATATGACTCTAGATCAGTAGTTCTCAACTAGAAGGAAGTTTGCTCTAGTCCCCCCTGGCACGTTTAGCAGTATCTAGAGACTTGATTGTCACAGCTTGGGATAATGATATTGACATCTAGTATGTGGGGCTCAGGAATATTGCTAAACATACTGCAGTGTACAGGACAACTGCTAAACATACTGCAGTGTACAGGATAACCATTCCAAAATGTCAGTAGTACAATGGTTGAGCAACCCTTCTCTGAATTTTTTTCACTACTGTGTAGTAGATAATCTGTTGTGTAAATATCATAGGTTTGTTTATTTTTCTGTTGGCAGACATTTGGGTTGTAAAAGACCTTATTTGGGAGGGTAAATTGAAAGCGTTAAAACTAAGGTATTATAGGGCCTCCCTGGTGGCACAGTGGTTGAGTGCTGGGTTGCGAAGCTGCCCGCAGCCTCTGCAGTGCCGGTTCGATCTCTGACTGCTGCCTGGCCACCAGAGGAGGGTCCCACATGGCGTGCAGACCTCTCCTGCCACCCGGTGCTCCCCTCAGCAGTGTACTTCGGTCCTTCTGCCTGCTCTGCTCCCCGCTCTGGCTCTGGTGAATTCTCTCACCCTCCCACACTTCTGACTGTACCCAGTGCTTGTATAAATAAATAAATCTTAAAAAAAAAATTAAAAAATAGGAAATTATAACTAGAAAAGGAAAAATAAAAAATAAGATTTCTATCCCAAGCAGATTGATGAGTAATGGTAATTAATTTGAAAAGGGAGAGCAAAAGGAGCTGAGTTGCAGAGAGAAGATAAATTCCTGGTATCAGAGATGTGCATGTGGAGATAGAGATAATTGAAACTTGTGAATGAATAGAATACCCAAGGAAGATAATATAAGCAGAAGGGAGACCTAAAATAGAACCTGTAGAATAGCAGAAAAGGGGAATAAGAAGTAATTAGTTAGAGAAAAAAGGGGTATTTCAAGAAAGTAGTCTTTTTTTAAAAAAAGATTTATTTATGCATACATAAGCTGGGGTACAGGCTAGAGGTATGGGAGTGGGGTGAGAGGAGTCACCAGAGACGGAATGGGGAGCAGAACAGGCAGGCTGACTGAAATACACTGTGAGGGGAGTAGTGGGCGAGTGAGGATAGGTCTGTTGCGCCATGTGGGTAGCTCCCTGTTGGGGATCGAACTTGTGCCGCAGTGATTGCAGACAGCTTCATATATTGCGTCTTAACCCCTTGCACCACCAGGGAGGCCCCCCATGTACATTTTATAATTAGTTTTTTGTTTTAAAAGAGTGTTAGTTTAATATAACTAAGTCTTATTTTGCTACCCTGGAAAAATTAAACTAAATAATCTAAATATTTCCTGTGTTAGATGGTTACTAGATGGTCTTGTAACATTGTAATAAAGAGTAAAGATAACAAGTGTTGCACCTCCCCGGTGGCACAGCGGTTGAGCGTTGGGTTGCAAAGCTGCCCGCAGCCTCTGCGTCGCCAGTTTGATCCCGGGCTGCTCCCGTGCCACCGGAGGAGAGTCCCACATGGATCGCAGACCTCTCCTGCCGCCCGCTGCTCCCCTCAGCAGTGTACTTCGGTCCTTCTGCCTGCTCTGCTCCTCGCTCTGGCTCTGGTGAATTCTCTCACCGTCCCGCGCTTCTGACTCTACCCAGTGCATGTATAAACAAAACAAACAAATAATAAATAAATAAATAAATAAATAAAAACAAAAAAAAACTTAAAAAAAAAAAGATAACAGGTGTTGAGTGTTGCATGTCAAACACACATATTAGCTCTTGACCTTGCCATATAGGTTTTGGGGGGTGGGGGTTGAGAGCTTTGAATTTGGCAGTTTGAAGTGACCTTTCAAATGTCATTTTCAAAAATGTTGAATTTAGTTGTACGGATTATAGAATGAAGTGGTTATGGGTGGTACTTTCCTTCTTGGAAGTAAAAGGAGACAGTTATAAGGGTAAAGTTTTCTAGGATTGAAGGATTTGAAGTATTTGAAAACTATAAAGTAAGAAATTTGAGAAGTTAGTTTGAGAGAAAGGCAACTCTAGATAGTTGTTTAGTATCTTCAAATTCTCCAATAAAAGCGGAACTTTAAATGTCAGCAATATCAGGATATTACTGGAGATCCTTGCACGTATAGTAAGACAAGGAAAAGGAAAGGCATGCAAATTAAAAGTAGAAATAAGGGGCCTCCCCGGTGGCACAGTGGTTGAGCGCTGGGTTGCGAAGCTGCCTGCAGCCTCTGCTGCGCCGGTTCGATTCCCAGCTGCACCCCGGCCACCGGAAGAGGGTCCCACATGGCGCGCAGACCTCTCCTGCCGCCCGCTGCTCCCCTCAGCACTGTACCTTGGTCCTTCTGTCTGCTCTGCTCCCCGCTCTGGCTCTGGTGAATTCTCTCGCCCTCCCACTCTTCTGACTGTACCCCAGTGCTTGTATAAATAAATTAAATAAATAAATCTTTAAAAAAATAAATAAAAGTAGAAATAAGCTTTCTATTTG